AGGTCAAAAAATCTATGATCCTTTCTGTCTTTTACATTAAAATCACATTCAACTTTTTTCTTAAACATCAAAGCTGTTCACCCCTTTGAAATCTCAACTTTCAGGGCAAAAGAACACTAAATATTCTGAAGTTTCATTTTTACAATTTAAGGCGTGTTTTTCTCTCCCAAAATATTTCATAATTTTCGTATTTTTATTCTTTCAGTCTTTTAACTTAAAATCACATTCAAAATCTATCATAAAAGTAGAGCCTGTAACCACCTAACGAAAGCTCAGTTTTCCGGACAAGACAACATCAAATCTTCATTCCTTATATTTTTTTAATTTCAAAACACACCCAGAACGAGTTTATACTAAAAAAAACGTACCGTTTGTCTTTCAAAATTCCGAAGCATTTAAAACGCTAATTATTCCATTACAAAAACATCATATCATCTTAGACTAGAATTTCAACCCGCCATACTTAGCCTGCTTGTTAGGCGAGAATAGCCCCCAGTGCCTCTCAATCTCAGGACCCTGCTTCTGGTTCTCATCGAACATCGCAAAAATATACGTCTCAATCGCCTTGGGCCTCTTCGGCGTCCCCTTCTGCACATGATCTATGAGCTTAGTCAGATACGTCTTTGCATTCTCAACAGAGGTCCCAGCACCCCCGGCCGACGGCCACCCGGTCTCCGCAACAACAACATCAATCCCACCCTGACCAGCCCTCTCGAGAGCAGAGTACAACGCATCCATCTGGGCATCCCATAAGTTCTGGTACTGCCGTCCTTGATCGTTGGTCGAAGACCCCGACTGAGTGAACAGAGCATACGGGAGTGAGATGTCATTCTGGTTGTAGAGGTAGCTGAAGTAGGGGTAGACGTTCGCCAAGAGGGGTGTTTTCGCCCACGCGAGGTGCCCGATGATGGGGTCGATGTAGGAGCGGACATCATCCCTGAACGCACCGGCGGACGGGGGGTAGGTATTACCCAACAGTTGCATATCGATCACGGCGGAGACTTTGATTTTGTCCTGGAGGCCGGCGTTTCGCACCGCGTTGAAAATGTTGACCAAAGCTGGTAGAGAGTACTGCGCCTTGTCGGCGGCGTTGCCTTTAGGGTCGACTTCATTTCCTACGGCGATATAGCGGATTTTGACGCTGGGGTAGTAGTTTTTGACGTTCTCTTGGACCCATTTCTCGGCGTTGCCCGCGTTGGCCATGCTCGGGAGTTCTGAGTTGGCGACACCCAGCATCAGTTCGATGTTTGACCCACGAAGGGCGTCCAGGGCCCACTTGTTCGCATCGTAGAGCCGCATTCGCTTGATGCCTTGTTGTTTGTAGAGGTTGACCACCTCCTGGGCGTTCGGGAGGTTGTTGCCGAGGCCGCCGTAGCAAACTCCGACAGCTGGAAAGTTTAACACGGTTATACGTTATCTAAATAAACGCATTTGCGGATCCACCGAGTTGGCGACATTGCTTCCTCTTCATTTAAATCTATGGAAATGTATCGATTCGTGGCGGAGGAGCCAGGTACCTGGCCTCAAGAATCAAGATACAAGAATTGAATGATCAACATTGGTTTAAATTAGAGTCCCATCCGGACTATGTAGTTAAGTATAAGGGAACTCTAGTTTAAATGGAGGAAAGCCGGTGTTCCCAACCTGCTGGATCCACCTCTGCGCTCTAATACCACCAGTGGCGATTTTTGAAAGTTGGCAACGCTGGTTTTCCTCCATTTAAATGTATGTAAAACTATCGATTCTTGGTTCGGCAGCTTACCTCACCTTAAATCGATATTTTTAATGGATTTAAATGGAGGAAAAGAATAATGTTGCCAATTTACGAAATCGCCACTAAAGAAAACGATGATGTTTGCAAAAAATGTTTAGAAACATCTCTGGAAATAATGAAATTTTCTCAACGCTCCCTGAGACGTTATTTGAGAGGAAGTAGTTGTATGGAATCAAATGAGCGATTTACCGAGGAGAAAGCGTTTAGATGGAATGAACCAAAAGAATTTGATTTGTGAAAAAAATTTATTTATTTTTTATTAAAAAAAAAAAAAAAAAAAGCGTGAACTGTAAGCATAGATAGATTTCCACCCCCAAATAAACCGAGACACCGTAACCCCCGCCCTCCATGGCGGACAGTTTACTTGAAATAAAATGTTTAGAATGATGCTTTTCGTTGTAGATGTCCTGCTCAACATTTTCTTAAGATTTTTTCCTCAAAGTGTTATCCTGAAGCTGAAAATTACTCACACGGAAATCTGCTCATTCTGTTGCAGCCGAGGGCTCTTCACAGTGAGAGTTGAATATGAATTTATTACACCCGCAGATTTCCCTACATGGAGCATAGGATCACATGCGGTTTGTTAATTTCGTGCGAGTGATGTGTATGGATGACTGCATACTTGGCCCGGCATGCATCAAGACTCCAGTTTTTCCGAGGAAATTAAAATCTGACAAGAACATAAATTAAAGTCGATTCGGTTGATACAGCTTATTCCTCTTGTCCGCGTGTCCATTTCACTCTCGAATCCACCCTAGCGGAAAGATCCGAAGATGCATGTTTTAAAAAACGTCTGGACTTGAGGATGAACGTCTAGACGTTGCCAAAGTGTCTCCGGTAAAATACAAGTTGTCTATAAAACTTGCGAATATTTTCTTACGAATTGTTCAGAGACTTTAATTGCATTTTGGTAATATTAGATCCCTAGCATAAATAAATCGCTGTTCAAGGACCAAATCTTCTGTTCAATTGCCGTCATCTGAGGACAATTTATTTTTGCTAGGGATGATTAAAAAAATGAAATGAAAGTAACTCGTAAATTTCAAAGCGGAAACACTCAAGAAAGTACACTTAAAATATCCAGGTTAGAGAGACTTTTTGTTCTATTACAAGTAAAAATGCCTAATTGTGTTTTTTCAAGTTTTTAACCATTTTATTTTAGTACTCTACCAAAAAATTCATATACTTCTAACGAAAATTTTGAGTTTTAAGATTCACAACTTGCAGTCTTGTTTGTGTTTAGCTTTATTTCGAGTGATTTTTAAGGTTCAACAAAATTATAACAGCACTTTTATTCATAGCTTTGGTATTAAAGCTTTCACACCTATTTCACTTGAGAGAGACCAAATCAGGTGCCCTAACTTTTACATATTAACAAATATTGTTTTACGCCTATTTTAAGTCTAATTAACATTTAATAGTACAATTGAATACTCTAGATGTGACGATTTTAAGACAGAACAACCGTATTTTTTCTCGAAAATAAATACCTTATCAAAGGAGATTTGGTACCATTCCAACGCACATACGGCGTTCTTTCATAGTGTGGGAACTCAGGTGGAAATGGGTTATTTATTTTTTATGATTCGCACAAAGTAGTGCATGACCAATGGATCCAGACGACCTTGAGGTAACTCGTGTCGCTGTTACATGGTTGTATGATTGAATTTTAAAATTTAATTTATAAATTTACACTAGAATTTGAAGGAAAATGCATTGATGTGGCAATTATGGTTGATCTGAGACCAGTATTCCATGTCTCGGCGATACTTTAGTGGTTTTTAATTAAACGGTTTTCTGGGTGGCTCCCTCTGGATGATTTGGACGGCAATATTAAGAACGACTTATCCTGCACTGATTCCCGGAGTGAATTTCATATTTTTTAAAATAACCTTGAAAGGCTTGTTCCTTTTAAAAAAAATTATGTTCATTTTAATCATTTTCGATACGACGTCCCTGCTTTCGACTGAAGTATGATAGAGGAGTTTTGCAATTTTGAGCTGTGGATAGTGAATCTGTTTTCCTACAGAAACATTTAAGTTGCCTGAACAAGGATAGCCCATAACAATAAAGTATCGCTAAGAAAATGTCTACAGAAAATTTATGAGAGTGGAAGGAGGAGACTGGCAATAAATTCTTGATCATATATATGAGTAGTTCTGTCAGTGATTAGATCGAGTTCAGGATTTGTCAACTAAGAAAAGTTTTTAGTGATTGATATTCCATAAATTGGACTACATTTTGCAACTAAGACCTACTATTCTTGGCGCATCTGTAATAACACTAAAGTGTATAATGATAAATAAGTTGTTTCTAAACTGAGCAACAAACTGTAGTTCCTAATTGCAAAATTTTGTGCATTTTCTCCAATTAATTTACATCTGGATTACCGAAAAACCGCAATAAAAAGGAAAAAAATTACTTTTCAGAATCAGTTCCATGTGAGTGCACTGACTCTCAATGTGGGCTCTTTGGTGGCCTTAGACCACTAAGAAAGAATCCAAAAATAATGCACGAAGTTCGGTTGCACCTCTGATTGCGTCAATTTTTATTAATTTTTAGTTGCGTTTATGGTAGTGCGTTACCTATTGTGATAACGTAACACATCAGACGGTACAAAAGGCAAATGCACAATGACATCAAAATGAGTGTCTCATTTTCTTAAAAATACGTATGGTCAGTATCAGCTCTACGAGGGACACGATGTGTTTAAGTTCAACGTTACAACAGCGCAGGAGATTCGACTCGATAAGTAGATGTTGATATAGAGAGATGTAGAGAGGTAGATGTAGAGTAAGGCTGTGATGTCAGCGCAGTTCAAACTGCAGTACGCGCAAACGCTTATCACCGGCTTCGAGTACCTAATAAGTTGGGTGAAAAAGGTTTCGCAAAAAACGGAATTGACACTTGCCTCTCACGCAAGAGGTTATGCAACTTGCTATGATACATTAAAACAAACTCCCTCGAGAGATTTTAAAGGTTCGCTCTTTAGAATGGGTGGTTCTTGTAGTAGGTGTTGGGACATTTTCCTTTCTTTAAAGTGGAGACTTGAGTAATACCTCAGACGTTCGAAACGCAGATATATAAATGAAAAATTTAGCGTTTTCGGCCGCAAAAATTTTCACGACGACGCACGTGGGACTTAGTAAAACCTGAATAAATGAAATGAACATGAATGAAGATGAATTAAGAACTGCATGCATGGGAAATGCCATGGCTTACATACCTTCATATGCGATCACCTGTGAGTCCGATCCTGAAAAGGATACGAGAGGACCAAGTGCCGAGAGAAGAAACAAAAATCGCATGCTGACCGATTTTGGTCAGATTAGATATCCTGTAAACAGAAAAAAAAATCATTAGAGAGTAATCAGACAGCAAAGCAGAAGCAAAAAAGATAGATAAATAAGATGTGTTTCAGTGCCTTATATTAGTTTGCGATGACTATTACGCATTTAAAAAATGATGGTTGACGTGGTGGAATTTCAGACGGAATCATCCTGACTGCATTTCACGTTGCTGATTTTTTTATTTTTTAAAAAAGTCAGCTCGACAACTTGACGCCTTTGAACTTTCTGTAAATTTGTCTTGAATCGCGGTGATCAATAGATGATCGTAAAATGTCAAGTTTCATCGTTGCTTAGTTTTCTGTTCAGAACCTAAAAAACCAGAGAAGGCTAGGAATTTCCTGACATGTAGTTAGACTGCTCTCTGTGCGATCCATTCCAAATTTTCAGTGAACGTAAGTATTTTTGAATCACTGGAAATAAAACACATTGGATCCAGAGTCGAGACTCTTGAAAACATTGACAAGAAAAGGGACTCTTGATTCAATCAGATTTAAGCTTAAATCAAAAGGAAATCCGCTCAAATTAAGAGGCTTGGTTCTCGATTTAAGCTTAAATCTGATTGAATCAAGAGTATTTTTTCTTGTCGATGTTTTTAAGAGTTTGGACTCTAGATCCAATATGTTTTTTCCAGAGTATGAGTGACAGAGATCAACAGAAATTTCAAAGAAAACAATAAGGTATCTCTCTATGAAAAAAATGGTCTAAGATACACGATGTTGCATTCGCAGATACGTGTTTTTTCACTTATCAATCGATAATTTTTTGAAATCCCCTCCTAGCTGGAGGCTTTGCGATATGATGCATGATGGCGATATTCGCCCGTGTCGACCGAAACCCACGTGCAACGGCGAAACGCGTCCGAGCACTTAAGCCATCGAGCTGGAAAATTTGATTCCGTCCCACATGACAAAATACAACCAAGGTTGATTTACGAACACGACCCTGCAACTTGTTCTGGGACCCGATCCTCCAGAAAAAGAAGATACTGTATCGAAGTGCTTGTTCCATCGCTTTACAAGCGCGGAATCAGGCCGAAAATTTATCGCTCGTTCGATAGCCTACGCCGTATCAAAGGGTGCGCAGCCGTGTAGGAAAGAACACCCTAAGCGCCTTCAGAGGTTGCTACATCTCCTCTGATAAATAACAAGTTTACCGGGAAAATTCTGAATACTTTTCTTCAAATTGTTCAGACAACACTGGAAAAAAACACATTGAATCTAGAGTCCAGACTCTTAAAAACATCGACAAGAAAAAAATACTCTTGATTCAATCGGATTTTTGCTTAAATCAAGAACCAAGCCTCTTAATTTGAGCGGATTTCCTTTTGATTTAAGCTAAAATCTGATTGAATCAAAAGTCCTTCTTCTTGTCAATGTTTTCAAGACTCTGGACTCTAGATCCAATATGTTTTTTTTTCCAGTGAGTTTACCGGAAAAATTTTGAATACTTTTCTTCAAATTGTTCGGACAGTTTTATTCGCAGTTCATTCTAAATGTACCACTAGACAAGACACAAATTTAAGCATTCTGATACTTGTTTCTTAACCAGAATTTCACGTAGAACAAGATTCGCGCAACGAAAATTACTGAAACCAACTTCTAACGAAGATATTAACGTTTTTATTTCACATTGGTTACGAGGAATTTGAACTGCCCGCTCACCAGAAACTCAAAGCTCTACGTGAGCAAATCGCGCGCTACAACGGTTTCCACAAGCTTCTCAATCCAACGATGTTCATTTCCCACCCTGTGTTGTTCAAACTATAAGCAATTTGCTACAGCTGAGCCAAAGCGTCAAGATTGAGGTTGTCGGATTTTTAAATAGCAGAGACTGTCATCATAACGTTTAGAGCGCGATGTGACTCACGTAGAGCATTGAGTTTTCATGAACGAGTGGTTTGAATTCACGCACCAAGAATCGTTAAATATCTTCGTAAGGTGTTGATTTTGGTAATTGTCGTCGTGCGCATCGTGTTTTACGTAAAATTTTGGTTAAGAAACATGTATCAGAATGCTAAAATTCGTACCTTGTCTAGTGGTCCATTACCTGAAAATTTCAGTAAAAACTACGAATTACACATTCCTCACTGGAAAAAAAAAAAAAAAAACACATTGGATCTAGAGTCCAGAATCTTGAAAACATTGACAAGAAAATAACTCTTGATTCAATCGGAGTTTTGCTTGAATCAAAACAAAATCCGCTTAAATTAAGAGGCTTCATTCTTGATTCAAGCTAGATTCTGATTGAGAGAGTCTGAAGAGTCTGGACTCTAGATTCAATGTGCTTTTTTTTCCAATGTTCCTCAAAAATGCATATTTTACGCCAGGAAGTTTGGCAACTCTCGAATGAACTTTCGACGTTCTACCTTAGCACAGGAGTATTCCGTGTTTGAGTGCGCACATAGATCAACGATGTCCCGGCTCGCCTGGTTCCGCCGTCCATCAAAACATTTTTAAAACATGTCATCAAGGGACCGCGAGTCTATGAGAAGGAACTGCAAGGAGACGCCGAGATGGAAATCATTAATCAATCTATTTCACAAAGAGAGGTGAACCGACTCTCCAGGCCCCATCACAGAGCCCCAGCTCTGCTGATTGAATTGGAAATGGAATCTATTGTAACGTGAAGGTAACACATTTTTATCAGCTCCTTGAAGGCGTAAGTGCTTTGATAGTACGATGCGTTTTAGCTCTTGTGGGTGGTTTCAAGATGATGTTAGATCAGGTTACGTTGGTATTTCAGTCAACGGGGGTATCAATCTTGAAGCTACGGCTTTTTCGAGGGGTAAACTTGAGAACATATCCTTGCGTGGCTTGCCATTTTTAGCACACATACACACATCTTTTAAGGCGAAAAAAATATTCAGATGATACTTTAATGTAGTTTGTAATTTTGAACGCGCTTGCAGGCATGCATAATGGAGATGTCGCATGTTTGAGGGATTTGCGATTTGACCATTGACTCTTATGTAAAAGTTTGCAAGAAACACGATGGTACCACTGGTTTCCTCTGAAATCATTTCCCAAGCTCAAAAAAAGCTCTCAAAGTGAGGCCAAAATGGAGGGGATATCCTACCCTACCCTGAGAGTCCACCTCTACATCAAAACAAACTCTCTATACAAAGATAGGGAGCAAATACATTAGCAGGGTTGCTGTGTTTTCAGTTTTGGAGTCCCCAAATAAAGTAGCAACCCTGCAGCTAATGTATTTGCTCCCTACCTTTTCATTGAGAGTTTGTTTTGATGTAGAGGTGGACTCTCAGGGTAGGATGGGATATCCCCTCCATTTTGGCCTCACTTTGAGAGCTTTTTTTGAGCTTGGGAGTTGATTTCAGAGGAAACCAGTGGCACCGTCGTGTTTTTCGCGAACATTTACATAAGAATCAATGGTCAAATCGCAAATCCCTCACACTTGCAACATCTACATTGATTATTTTACCGACTTTTTCTTTGTATATTCTTTTCCTTGACGTAAAACTTTCTGGCAACGAGGCCTTTGGGCCGCTTCGGCGCCGCACTGGTAGAGTTGGGCCGGGTAAAGAATACCACTCGGGCGGCTGGGTTAACCATAAAAGACCATAATGGGCGAGTTGGTAACCCGCTCGGGGCCGACCAATTGGGTCACTCGGGGGTATTTTCGCGGCGCCGCCACGCGCTTTCACTCCAAGGCCGTCGCGGCGTCGCGCGCAAAGCATCACTCGCCCGGTACCCGCTCGGACGCGGCAAAAACGCAACGAAAGCTGCTTTGCCCAAATCCGGTGGGCGGTGAAATTCGGCGATGCGACGGAGCCGGTCACCACCGTTGTCAAATCCAGGGCTCCGTCTGAGAACTCCGTCGAAGAAACAGGCACACGTAGAGTACGTTTGTACTGAGAGTCAAGACAACACCCCCTCATGGAGTAACAAACGGGAATAAGATTATGGCCTGGTTACACGCTCAAATTTCCGTCAAATTCCGATCAAAACGATGACCAAGATGGCGGACGAGAGTTATCTAGATTGATGAGTAAAATTAATTAAAACAGCGTGTTGATTGAAATAAGCATGAAATAAGCACGGTTGTGTGGAAATCAGATGAAGGATGAGCCCCACAGTTTCATCATCTACCATCAAATTTTTGCAGGCCGCAGAAATTTGATGGTCGATGGTGCGCACCAGTCACCATTTGATCGGAAATTGATGGGAATTTGAGCGTGTAACCAGCACATTACACAGATTGAACGTTTTTCGTAATCTTTGATCGGCCCATTCTCAAATTCCTTCCTCTTCATTCCGTTTATTCCTTGTCGAACCCGTAATTCCTCGGTCCACTCAAGATTATAATCTTTGCAATGTGTGAAAATGTAATCTTTATTCCCGTGGAGGCCTAAAATACGGTAACCAATCAGAAATGGATTCACATTGTCTTGACTCTCAGTATAAAGGGACTCTAGGCACACGCAAAAATAGTAAGCTCCCCCTCCGACCACAGTGCACTGAGAGAAATTAAAAAAGAGCCCAAAACCAACTCTTATCGATACCCCTCATTTCATGCCAGTACGCAAAACATTGCACAAAATGGCATTCGCTTCATATTAAATCGCTGAATCGCTGTATGTAAGGGGGAAAAAAACTGCACTAAAATTATTTTATAAGCAACAAAATCAGAGGCTATCATATGGCAGCAGAAGATCCAAAATAAATACCAAGACAATTTAAAAGCTCTGATTCTGGTTTTTCCTCCAAGCGTTAGGAGTTAGAAATCGGAATTTACTGCTCGAATCGGCAAGAACAAGAATTTTCATTACTGCATTTGCCATTAGGGAGGTCAGCGCTTTGCATGTCCGGTTAGGAAATTAGGTCCACGAAAATATTCCTAAAATTTTCACTTATCCTTCGGCCATAAAAAAAGACAGAGACACGAAACTGGAAGTAAGCTTCCGTGTTTGGCGTGGGCTTAATCCGCCTGCATCCTTGAGGTCGCGCGCGATCGAGAATCACAAATTTTG